AATTTTCTACTCCAACTATCGAAGCCTTGGACATCCGAACTCCACTAAGTTATCTGGCAGCCGTCCGAAAGCGATCCCTTTGCCTCTTTCAAAGGGTGGCGCTCGAGCAAACTCCGCCAAACCTACCCGTTCGTTTCAGAGTAAAGCCGGAAGGGCCTCACAAATTTGATAAGCAAATTCTTCCTATTAAATTTTATGTTATCTCCGATAACGATAATATACCACACAATGGTATAATAGGAACAACAAACCAAAAGGCGATCATTGATCTAAATAATTTGGAGCTATCGTTAATTTCTTTACGATACCCAATTAAAATATTTCGTAACCAAAGCACTGAAAAGGATAACAATTCTTTTTACGTTAACCCGAGATCGGAGACTGTTATCGAAATAGATATTATTTATTCTGATATTTTTCAAGGGATAAGCCCCGAACTTAAAATTCCAGAACGCATATATTTATCCAGATCTTTAGTAAAAGTTATTAACGGTAAGGCCCGTACTACAATTTTAAAAACCCATAATCGAGGTATAAAGATTAATGAAATCAAGGTCAAATTAGAACCTTCTGATGAAACAAATTTCTTTATATTTCCGGTTCAAAATGATGAGGAGGAAAGACTCAAATTATTACGGATAAATTTACGCCTGAATCACCTTAACTTAGAAGAATAACCTTCTGTCTTCAAAATCTGTGACGAATAATATAATGACATATTTTTCTTACCTAACGATAAATTAGCAACAACAAATATATTAAGACACGATATCAAAGTCACCGAACCTACTCCCATTGCATCTAAAATTCACCGGTTCTCAGAAGTACATAAAAAATATTTAGACAAACAAATAGCGTGCATTTTGCACAGAGGCATTATTCGTGAATCAGTTTCTGCCCATAACTCTCCCCTCCAAAAAACTAGATGCTTCAGTTGAAAGGAAATGAAGAATAATCGTCGACTTTAGGAAACTCAATGACGTAACCATTTCTAATTTTTTTCCCTCGCCTAGGATATTTTAGATCCGCTCGGCCGTTCCAAATATTTCACCACTTTAGATTTAGCTCTCTCACCAAATTGATATGCATGATAGTGATATTCCGAAAACCGCCTTTTCAACCCTTTCAAGTTATTATAAATATGTTCGTATGCCATTTTATTTAAAGAATGTCCCCAGTACTTTTCAAAGGCTCATGAATACCGCCCTTACAAGTCTTCAGGACCCCAATGTTTCGTATACCTTGATGACATCGTTATCTTTGCTATTTCTGAAGAAGAACATTCCAAAAAGTTAGAAAATGTATTTCAGAGACTACGAACCAATAAACTGCTCTTACAATCTGATAAATGCGAATTTATGCACACCGAAGTTACCTATCTAGATCATATCGTTAGCAAAAAAGGAGTTTTGCCACATTCAGATAAAATATTGTGAGTAAAGGAATATCCACTTCCAAAAACTCTGGAAAAAATTAAGCAATTTTTAGGTCTTATTGGTTATTATCGAAGATTTATTAGAGAATTTCCAAAATTAGCAGAACCATTGACCAATATTCTTAAAAAATATATTCCATTTTCCTGGACTTCCGAACATCAAAATTCCATCGAATATTTTAAAAATGTTGTAACTACAGAAACTACAAGAAATTTATTCTCGCCACAGAGGCTTCTAATAGCTCTGCTCCAACTGACATGAGAACCGTTCCAGAACCAATAATTTCCAGTTGCCCACCTATTTTTCAATAGGTTGAACATCGGGTAGAACGTTTATCCTACTTGACAGATGAATTCATCGACTGAAAATTACCGTTCTAGAACGGTTTTCATGTCGGTTGAAACAGAGATAATTACGCTATTGGCGCGATCTAACCTCAAGGAAAAATTGTTGAAGATTTACCTATTTCCTACGCATCAAGGACTCTCAATAAAGTTGAATGCAATTATTTGTGCAGTCGTTGAAAAATAACTCCTCTCGCTATTGTTTGGGCAGTAAAACATTTTCGTCCATACCTCAATGGCAGAAAATTTGTCGTTTACACTGATCGTCGTCTTTTAACATGGCTTTTTAACTGCAAGGATCCAAGTAGGTGACTAGTTCGATGGTGCTTGAAATTAGAGGAAAATTCTTACGAGATTGAATACAAACATGGAAAAGTAAACTTAAATGTTGATGCTTCATCCAGAAATCCTGTACCCTTGATGACAATACAAATAGAAAAAATCTTGTTTTCCTACAAGAGAAGCCGAATTATTTCCTAACTTCACAAAATTCCATTATTGAAAACAAAAAGTTCCAAATATTGAAATAATAAAGGAAAATGATATGTGATCTTGATAATAATAATCCGTGCTATGAAAATCTCTCTTTAAATAACGATTAAGCGAAAATTGACCCAAATGAATTAAATCCTGACGATTCCAAAACATTAAAAAATAATAAAAAATAATAATTTTTTTTTTCTAATTAATTAATTTCCAAAGTAAATCATATTGTATTCGAAAACGTAATTCTTCCTGTTCAAATAAGATTAAATTCGTCAATATCCTACCGACGCACAGTGTTGCACTCAATGGACAAAATTCAAAAATGTTTGAATTTATTTTTGGATAATTAAATATGGCTATCTGTGAAGAAATGCCTGGTGATGACAAGTATATTATTGTTAACTTTTTTTGTTCACGAGTTCCCAAAAAACAGAGATAAACAAAACGAAAAAGAATTTTGTGCATCTGTTGGGAGGTTATTATAAAATTAAATTTTGAAAAGGCCGTAATATTGTTTTCAGGTAATTATTTTTTTAATACATTAGGAGGGTTATGGACAACATTATAGAGGGTAAGTACTCAGTTACACTATTTGCCTTTTGCAGATAATTAATTAAAATATCTAAAATATTTTTATTAAATTTCAACTAAGGATTTAAAAAATATATAAAATTATAGTCCTATAAATTTTTGAATTTGAACTCTGCAAACCCTCTACTTTAAAATGACAGTTATTATTTTTTGCGGATTTTTGCGTTTTTTTTTATTTTCAGAAAAAATCGTTGCTATTCCTAATAGTATTTTATACCAACAATGGGTAACTTGCGGCAAGAATCAAAAACCTTAAATGGTAATGGAAACAATTCAAGTTTACTTAAAGCTAGAAAATTGTTCTGCTTACATAAAAAAAAAAAATCTGGGAGTGCAGCAACAAGTGGGACGCTGGAAATAACGTCATGACGCGCAAACATCCTCGTCTAGTTACTAGTTCTTAATTTTCGTATTTTTGAAAATTTTAACATTTTTAATGACAAATGTATCATCTTTATAATTTGTTTATCTACAAGAATATTATTTTTTTTAAAAATAAATTCACCTAAGGTTTTTTAATTAAACATTATAATTTTTTTTTATGTTTCACCCTGTACAATAGGAATTATTTTCTTTTGTTCAAATATTCTACATTTGGGTTGTCCACTAAAATGTTTATGCATAAATAAAAACATTCGCATTAATTAATTCAACTTTGTATTCAAGATATGAATTTTGTCCCAATTCCCCTATGAGACGCAACACTGTGCGACGTGGCGAGATCTGTTGAAGGATATATTGGAGAACTCCTAAGCCTTGGTTAAGTGTGAAAGGAGAGGTTAGAGAGTTTGCTTTGGATAAATAACATTCCACCAAATGGAAATCATGAAATGTACTTTCTGATACCCCTTTATATTTGTGAGCAATCTTTTCACAATAAATTGATCCGTAAGAGGTGAAAGTGCGAGCAATATTTAACTTGAAGTAAACATTCACACACACGACTTGAAGTTGGAAAACGACACATTCTCATATCCAATTCGTATGTCGATATGTAGAGAATTAAGGTCAATATCCACCTTTTCTTTGAAACTTTGTATAATATTGAAAATATCGAAGTGAATAAAAAATTAAAATGTTCGGAAAAGATCAGGCTACAATTTGGTCTTGTAAACTGTTCTGAATTTCTAATGCTTCACTCCACAGGGTGCCTCAAAAAAATTCTGAAAATTACTGACTTTCTTTATATCCCCGTATATGATATAAAAACGAATCATTTAATAACGGTAATACGTCAGATGTATTCCTGAAGAATCAAGCTACAATCTGTGAAAAATTCATCGAAATCGAGCGGAGGGTTCAAGAGAAAATTGATGTCAAACTTAGTGTAAATTTTGTCCGTCCCCTAATTTTGCCGGTGTGAATTTTCATTTTATCCATGAACCCATTAAATTTATTGTCATGTAATAATAACTTCAGTTTTGAGTGACCCTCAATATTAAGTAAAAAATTCATATTAAATGTTATTCCTTTCATCTCAAATTGAAAATATATTCTACACGATAATACGTCTTCCGTATAGGAAAAACAACTCTATACTCTATAATCTATTCCTATGCACATATATTAAAATGATGATAGATATAAATAAATAGATGAATGATTTGCTTTCTAACATCTGCTAATTATGATGATACAGAAAGTAAGTAGCCAATGTGAATTTTTTATAAATTTAATTGATTAGTGTTGCCAATTTAAAGCGTTCTATATGATATTTCAATGTGAAAATACTTATTGCAGATTTTCATTTGTAGGACATGATTTATTAAAGAATTGAAAAAAAAAAAACAATTATAGTTTTCCGTAAATCCAATTTTTGTCTACTTTGAGGGAAATATAAGTTTGTGAGAAACGTGTCCAGATACCACTTTGCAATAAGATTGGGAGGCATAGTTTAAAAGGGATTTGCGAAAATGCTGCTACCATTACTCTTCGCACTTATCCTTAAGATACACAAAATATCCAATATCTTCTCGATTATAATATTACTAACATAATCGAGCGTTCTGGCATATTTCACCATCAATTAGGTTAAGCCCGACTTTCTAACGATCGATTTACACTTTTATCATTCTTAAATATTTCTATTTTCGAGAAAGTTACACTTAATTCGCCAGAGATATCAAAGCTCAATACCCTTGTGTCAATTGAAGCTATTAGTGCATGAAGGTGTTGACTCAATTTTTAGCTGAAATCCCGAAAAATGGTATGCGTGAAGGTGTTAATTCACTCTTTGCGTTAGTAAAGACTTTAGATCATAGATGTCGCCAGGTACCTTAAAAACTGAAGTTTAAATGGCGTTAACTCAAGTTTTGTTGAACTTATTTGGAGCAAGAAGGTGTTAACTCTCTATAATTGTGCAGGAAGGGGTTAACTACTGAGTTAGCGCCTTCTTCCAGTATAAACTTGTACGAAATTGATTTTTTGTTTACATTACGTACGTGGTGTTCTAGTGTTGCTATATAGATATAGTTTAAATCAAGTGATTACTATGCTATTTATTGTGTTTGGCAAAAAAGTAAGTCCATTTTTCATATTATCCATTGAATATTATCGCTAATTTAAAATAAACTGATACTAAAAGTCAAAAAGTCCATAACCATAACCTCAAAATGGAAAAATATATAAATAATGCAAGAAATTTAAACAATTTTAGTTTTGAAAATACTCCATAATGGCTGGTCCTAGTGCAAGAACCAGAAAAATTCTTAAGTTAGCTATAGCTGCTGCTGAAATAAGTGAAGACTTCTCAGAAACAGATGAGGAACCATTTTTGGATTCTGGCTCAGAGTACAAACCAGAATCTGATGGTACCGACGAAGAAAGGGCTGGAAATTCTTCTAAGAGAAAAAGAGTATGTAAAAGAGTAATAAGAATCAAGAAGAAATCAAACGAAGACATAGCTAATGTTTTCGAAAATCAAGAACAAATCGTAATAAGACCTGGTATGTATGTTTCACTCGATTTTTCATTAAAGGAAATTCAGACAATAACTCTTGTTTTTAGGACAAGACGAAAAACAGACACAAAATATTAATGACCTAGAAGAACCTATTCAAGTTATTGAGAAAGAACTGCAGGAAAGTAATGATACAGACGAAGCCGAAGAACAACAAATTATTGGTAAGATTTAAAAAAATAAAAAATAAGTTGATACACTTGATAATGAAGTTTAGCAATTTGTTTCTAATATTTTGGCCAGAAAACTTGTTCGGCTACATAAATGTTTATTTGTTTTAGAAATGGAAGAAGAAATAAATATACCTGATGTTGGGGTTGAAGTCAACCAACGAATAAATGAAAAAAAAGCAAGGAAGCTCCAGGCTCAACCAAAGAATTGGAAAAGAAACGTAAATATGCTAAACAGAGAACAAGGTAAAGCATACACTGACTATAAAAATAGGCATGTCCCAGAAAAATCATCTGCAGTTGGAATACAACTTTGCACAGAAAAATGCAGATTAAAATGCAACAGCAACTTTGACGATGCTGATCGGAATACTTTATTTAATCAATATTATTCATTACCTACCTCCGATGAAAAAAACGTCTACCTCTTTGGTTGTATGAAGCCCTTTGATGTTAAGCAACCAAGCGGTATCAATGCTATTCGTCAAAAATCTTTCAGATATTTTATAACTTTAGATGGAAAATCAAAGCAAGTATGCAAAAGTGCTTTTTTGAAATTACTGAACGTTGGAAGAAAGAAATTAGAGCTAATTCGTAACCAAATTTCTCAGGGACAAGCTCTCCCACATAAAGATCAGCGGGGTCGCCATATTAACGGCAAGAACCAAACACCCAACGATCAGCTTGATGTAGTCCGTCAACATATTAAATCTTTTCCTGCAGACATGTCACATTATTCAAGAACTAAGAACGAACATCGCTTATACTTGTCCCCTATGCTATCCATAAATAAAATGTATGACCTATACAAGAACCACTGTTCTGAACAAAACCTACCTTTTGTCAAAAACAGTCGATACAGAAAAATTTTTGTTTCCGAATTTAATTTTGGCTTTGGATCTCCAAAATCAGATACCTGCAAGGTTTGTGACTGTAAAGAAAATACCGACGAACATGTGAGGCGCTATAAGGCAGCGTTTGCAGAACAGAAAAAAGACAGAAATTTGGCACATGAGGGTACTATTTTATTCATAAATTTTGACATGCAAAAAACATTGCCTCTGCCAAAGCTGTCTACCAGTGTGGCCTTTTATCTGAGACAAGTTTGGTTATACAATTTGGGGATTCATTGTGTAAGTAAAGGTGATACCTTCGGTAAAGGATTTTTTCACCTTTGGACTGAAGACAAAGGTAGTAGAGGACCAGAAGAAGTTGGAAGCAGTGTTTTATCATTCCTACAGAGCATTAATATTGAAAATGACCATTTAGTAGCCTGGAGCGATTCTGCAGGTGGACAAAATAAGAACTTTTTTATAGTTTGTTTATGGCATTACCTAGTACATCAGAAAATTTTTAAAACTATTGATCATAAGTTTCCAGAGGTTGGCCACAGTTTTATGGATATTGATAGAGACTTTGGCGCTGTCGAAAAAGTTATTCGAAAAGTTCAAAATATTTATACAGTTGATCAGTACATGACTTTAATGAGAGAAGCTAGAAAAAGGAATCCGTTTGTGTTAACCAGAATGGAGGACAAATTTATTGATCTAAAAGAACTGTCTCGAAAGCTGAACTTGTTAGACAGAAAGAAAAGTAGCAATGGAGAAAAGATAATTTTTCGTAATGTAAGATGGATAAGAGTTGATAAATTTGGTACAACAAAGTATAGATATTCACTAGATGAAAATGAGGAGTGGAAAGAAGTAGAAATTATCAAACGCAAACCAACCCGTACAACAGGACAACACGAAAATGTCTTAGTTCCAGTAAATAAGTCGAGACCCATAACAGCCAAAAAATTTGATAATATACAAGAGCAGCTCCCATTCATTCCAGAAAATTTAAGAGGATATTATATGAGTTTGAATCGATCTGAAAGTGATTAGTATTACCTATTTTTGTATTTTTTCTATTAATAAATATGAGTTAATCCTGTCTTAGTTCGTCATCATTTCCAATAAAAAAATAAATAGTTGTGCATGAAGGTGCTAACTCAATTTTTTTGTAAAAAAAAATAGAAAACGCACCTAGTAACATAAAAAATGATAAAAGCTGACCCGTAATATTAAATTTACATTGCTTGTCTGTGTATTGACGCATCTTGATTTTGATTTTAGTTTAAACAGAAAAAGCTCCAACATTTTAACTTTAACCCTAAATATCTCAAAATTGTTGAAAAGTGACTTAACACCTTCATGCACTAATAGCTTCAATTATATCAGAGAGAGAGAGAGTGATAAAACTGATAAAGAATTCCAGTCAAGATGCAAAGAAGCTTTAGATCTGATAGAGGAAAATCTTGCTACGTTTAAAGGAAAATATGATTCTATTTGTCATTTAACCGGTCACAATCAAATTCTTTTAAGACAAAAACGAGGTCTCATGAATGGAGTTTCGCATGCCCTAAACTGACTTTTTGGTACTCCTGATGTAGACGATGCACAATTCTACTCTGCTGGAATTTCCTCAATAGCACAACAGACTGACGACATGCATAAATTAACGAAACAACAAGTACATATTTTATCAGACGTACTTAGAGACTGCCCGAGCCCTGATAAAAAATCAGAAAATCTTTAATGAAAACATTAGGAAATTTAACACCTTCGCAACCTCTGCAATGAAGAAGATAAATGCTTTAGCTCACAAATAGACAATCAAATCTATTAATTCTACGATTTGCATGGCGAAGCCGCTTCGGATGGAATTGGAAAGTAGCAAGGTCGAGTTTCCACGCGCGGGCTTTTCAAGGTTAACATACTACGGAGCCGAATCTTAAGGGTGATCCAACGGCCCGCATTCAAAGCGTCGGAAAGGGTTTCGTAGCAGTCTAATTACTACTTAACTATAAGTTGTATTGAAATAATTCTTGTTGTAGCCTAATCTACTAATGTGAAGGCATGTTTTTATACAATTTCTTTTTTTTTAATAATCCAAATTAGCTCAGAAACTGAGCTTAAAAATCATCAAAAAACCGTTTTTTTGTGTGATTATTTTGACTATTTTCGGAAGCCTTTTCAAAAAAATAATCGTATAGAGACATAGATCTACTTTTCCTCTTCAAAAGGGAACAAAAAAAATATCAAAAAGTTTATCAAAAGCTGAGTAATTAGACTGCTTCGTAAGCACTATTTACTGAAATTTGTAACCGTGGCGTGGCGCCACCATAAATTGAACACGGATGGCGACGAAAGTAAAATTAAACGTATTAAGTGGATTTCGGGGGGCCGTCTGAGTATAAATTTCACTATTTTTTATTTATTATTGCATTTATTTTAGTAAGTTGACTTTATCGATTTCAGGTAACGATGCCTATATTAGTTATCTCTCCAATCGGGGGTTTTGAATTCATTATATCTGTACCTACATGCATTTATTTTCTTTACATCTTATGTAAATTGAAAGGGGTACCTATCCGGTCAATGGTATGTATTTGAATGGAATTTATGAATAAGGAAAAAATGCGTCTCGGAATAATTCTTTTTTATTAATACAAACACGCAGAAAGTACATATTATGTACTATTATATAAACCATTGTAAAAACATACATATTACATATATTGAATTTTTTTGACAGCTGTCACAGCCAATTAAATTTAGTTATTTTGTGTCATGTGACTTAAGTCATCCAATCACGTGAACATTATACTGAAAGAAAAGTGATCCCATAAGCTGTTTTCACTTTATGACGTTGCTATGAATACATTTTCAGAAAATTCCTATCCGAAAAACCCTCGAACATTGATAACTGCTCAGAAATTTCATAACAACTTTCTCAAGCTTGTTGCTCATAGGAAACAAACCTTCACCATCGGCGTCGATCTCTTTCCAAACAACAAGCTTCCGAAATCTGTTATAAATTTCTTCCGAACAATTATCAATGTTTTTGAGTTATTACCACAGCTCATTACTATATTACTATTGATTGAAGAACAAACATGGCAAAAGTAAGTTTATTTGTCACTCATTTGTAAAACGTCACTTATCAAGTCACAACATAAACAACGAAAATTGATTTTTACAAGCTCTACTGACTTGTAAAATAGACAGCTAAACTGTAATTTTTTTTTATCTACAAGCGTTTGGTTATGACGTTTTTACATTACCATTTTTCTAGTATTTCAGTTATGTCATAAGACTCATAACACAACTAGTGGTGTTATGGTCTAGGTTATGAATTCATAACACAACTAGTGGTGTTATAGACTTGGTTATGAATCCATAACACAACTATTTTTGGTGATTTGACAAATGTCAAAGTTAAACCTGTAAAGGTAAAATGAAGGTACCTAGACAACTACTAATAAACGAAAATAATTGAAAAAACATGCTTAATTTTTGCTTTGTAGATAAAACGTTGTACATAACACGTGCGTTTAAACATGACTACAAAATTCGTATGATTAGAACGACTCGGTCTACGACCTCATCTTTCTAATTTTCCGCACTCGTTATTGTAATCATGTTCATAAATGCACTAAATGTAAATAACTATTACAAGTTAGTAGACTTATTTATTTTCAAAAAATCAGTTTTATCACAAGAATAATTACTTGTAGGTATATATACCTTCTGGAAGAGTGACAAATAAATTATTGTACATTATGCGCCAGGTAGCAGTGTTTACTGGCTCTTGAAAGTGACAAGCTCGCCTGACGGCTCGCTAGTCATTTCCTTCAATCGCCAGTAAAACATGTTTTGCCTGGCTAATAATGTAAAATACTAACATCCTCAATTGACTATTCAGGGTAGTCAAAAGTGTTTGGGAGGTAGGGGTGTCTCTACAGGTCTTTTAATGACTTGTTTTTTTATGTCTCGGATAGGCATATTACGTGCTACTCTTGAATCTACAATCTCTGGCAAAAGGCAATTGTCAAAAAAATCTACAAGGTAATCCTGCATTTCATGTGACCAGAAAGATTCGTCTGCAAGGATAGTTTCTGTTTTCAATCCGTGGGGCGTCCACACAGCGAAGACACAGTATAATCGTTTAGCTACATGTAATTGGCCCTGTACTTGGTAAAACCACTTATGTTTTTTATTGATTACACCATTTTTGTCCCAAAAAGTAATTTTTCTTTTTATTATGCCTTCTTCAGGGGTCATTTCCCTTGCAGAATATGGACACTTTATTTCCACAATACCCTTTTCCTCAATTATACCATCTGGTGAAGCTGCTAGAAATTGTTGTTCTTGGTCAATGAATAGCCCACATGGTTCAATTTTTTTGCCAATAAGTTTTTCTAGTGCATTTCTAGCTACTGATTCATATTTGTTGCCATAGTCGCATGCAGCCGAATAAAATTTTTTGGGATATAAAATAGATTGTACCAACGATTTACAACCGGTTGTAGGCCTTCGTCGGCAAACCACACCAAACATAGATGCCGTCAGCCGTTTTCGTCTTTCCAAATACCATAGATCGGAATTTTGCTGCTGCCTTGTCAAAACTTCAATGGTTTTTATGTCTTCACTACTCCTACATAAACTTTCTTTGAAATCGTTTTTGGCATGTCTCAATTCTTCATCTGTCATATCTGGTTTTTCACATTTTTCTCCATAACTTTTATTATCTTCAGTTTCAGTGTTCTTTTTTGAAAACAACGGTTTTCTACAGGCGGGTTTTCTATTTCGGTTTTTTTCTGTCCTTCTGAGTTCCATTTTTTTAGAAAACTTGCTTGGACTTTTTCCAGGAGATAGATGTTTACGTGCCGTGTAGATTACTCTCTTTGTATTGTGACTTACTACTGCAGCTGCGCATCTGCTTTGATAGGACCGTCGTTGGCAATAATTAACTCGTTTTCCTCCTATAAATTTTGCTATAACAGAGTTAAACTGTTCAACGCTATTATTTTCCACATCATGGATTAGACTCTCAGCATGGCGTACTAAATAATTTTTGAAAGTGCACAGTTTCTGGTACAAATCTAAAACAAAATAATATCAAAAGTGTGATTTTTAAATATTATTACTCTCGACTTTTACATGATGAAAATCTGTATTGAAAAGTTTAGTAAAACGATTTGCTATTTTTACAAAACATGGACATAGTAAGTTATGTCAACACAGTGGCTTCATCAGATGTCTAGTAACAATGGAAGTACGAAGTAGTTGGTTGTTTTGAATATAGCGTATAAAATAGTTACAGACTCGGTTACAGACAACCTAATATACAAACAATTTGAGAAGTTTTTAAAATATCAATTTTTTTTCCATGGATGTTTTAATTGTACTGATCAACGACCATATAAATTTTCTACTTACCAGTCGATTTTAAATCATTTAAAACATTATTTTCGTTATAGGCCTTGTAACAAAAATATCCCAAATCCTGACATTCTCGGTGTTCGTCAAAAACATGACTTATCGAGTTATTCATGTCCCGTTTTAAGTTGATGATTTTCTGGTCTAAAGACCCATTTTCATTCTTCCTATGTGATATTGCCTTGGTTATTGCCCATCGTAGTCTAAGCTGATTTTGCTGAAATAGAATTTCATATTATGGACTAAACACTTTTTTTTAAATTATTTATTTTTAAACAATCTGAATATTTCGTAATATTTTTGGAATCCTTATTGATTTCTTGTTATTTTAAAAAATATATGATATTGTGCAAGGGGCCCTCTTGCGTAATCCCTAGCTGCAATATATCTAGGACTTAATTTAAATACATGGTTTGCTTTTGTAACGTTAATTTATCCTTACTTCAATTATTTTTCGAAGATTTAGAGGACCTGCTTGCGTATCTTTCACGAGATCTCTAATTTTTTTTGAATAATTGCGCAACAAATGATTTTTGCATTCTATTTTTTTAACACGAATGTTTTCATAAGGGTGAACTTCTAAAATTCTTTTGTACGTGTTGCTGTCGCCATCTGCTATA